AATATATTGCTTTATGTTGAGTGGGAGGACTGGTAATGGTGAGAAAACAGGGGAGGTATTGAATAAATGAAGTAAATATTGAGTTTATGTTGAAACATGGGTTTTTGAATCATCCAAATCGGAGTTGTATATTGAGAGATATGACCAAAAGAGTAAAGACAGTGCAGGCTGGAAGAGCGCGCGCGAATTGTGTGATTATCCAGATGTATTTCCAGAACAGTTACCAGGGTTACCACCAAGGAGGGAAGTGGAGTTTACCATTGATGTCTATCCTGGAGCAGCACCAGTATCAATTGCACCTTACAGAATGGCACCAGCCGAGCTAAAAGAGTTAAAGATTCAGCTACAGGAGTTATTGGGCTTATCAGACCCAGTGGTATCACCTGGGGAAGGCACCAGTATTATTTGTAACAGAAGAAAGATGATCTTTTAGATTGTGCATGACTACAAGACCAACTGAACAAAACTGACAATCAAGAATAAGTATCCATTGCCTCGCGATTGATGATTTTTTTGATCAAATGAAAGGGTGCAGATGTTTGCTAAAATCGACCTCAGGTCGGATACCATTCAGGTCGGATAAGAAGAAGATATCGCTAAGACTACATTCAGGAACCCGATATGGTCACTATGAATTTTTAATCATGCCATTCGGCTCACAAACACCAGCGTTTTTCATGGACCTCATGAACCGCTGTTCTTCATATTTAGATCAGTTTGTTGTGTGTTCATAGATGACCATTTTGGTCTACTCCAGAGACAGGTTGAACATGATAAAACATTTTGCGGCTCGTACTTCAGACATGAGGTAAACAGCTGCGTATGCCAAGGCTCATAAGTGAGTTTTTGGCTGGAAGAAGTTTCTTTCTTAGAAAAAAAAAAAAAAAAAAAAAAAAAAAAAAAAAAGACATATATCATCGGAGGGTATCAGAGTGGATCCTAAGAAGATTGAAGCTATTGTTAATTGGAGACCACCCAGAAATGTTACAGAAGTTCGCAGTTTTCTGAGTTTAGCCAGTTATTACAGAAGGTTCGTAAAGGGATTCTCTATCATTTCATCACCTTTAACAAAATTATTGAAGAAAGCAGTTATATTCCAATGGGATGATAGAGGTCAGCAGAGTTTTGACACTTTGAAGAAAAAGTTGACAGAAGCACCAGTGTTGACCCAGCCAGTGTCAGGTAAAGACTTTGAGATTTACAGTTATGCTTCTCATATTGGGTTAGGATGTGTACTTATGCAAGACAGGAAGGTGGTAGCTAACAGTTAAAGCCACATGATGAATTAGTCCAACCATGATTTAGAACTGGCAAACTATTGTTCTAGCATTCAAAGTATGGCGGCATTAAATCTGTTGTGAAAATTCACATTTACACAGATCAGTCAAAGTTTAAAGTATTTAAAACAAAGACAGAAAGATTTGAATTCAAGACAACGGAATGGATGCAGATTCTGGCTAATATGATTATGTCATTAATACCATCCGGGCAAAAGCTAATGTGGTAGCTGATGCCCTTAGCGAAAATCATTGTTTGCTTTGAAAGCAATGAGAATTCGCATTGGAGTTGCACAGCAGGAGTGATTCTAGCACAGATGCAAGATACAGCCATCTCTGGTTCAGGAAGTTGGCAGAGAGCACCAGAAGAAAAGATGCACAAACAGCACTATGGTGAAACAATACAGGAAGATCATGGTGGGAAATTCAGATTGGATAACAGTGGAGTTCTTATCTATGAAGACAGGAGTTGTTGTACCACAGAAGGAGAGCTTAGACAAAAGATTCTGCATTGAAGCTCATAAGCAGTCCATATACAATGCATCCCGGTATACCAAGATGTATCAAATTTGAGGAAAGGCTATTGGTGGGCCGGCATGAAGGAACAAAATTGTACCATTGTTTGTAACAAGATAAGTTATACATTCTTGTACTTAGGGTAATGATTTGAACTTGGTTTAATGGCTAAGTTAAATAAAGGTAAACAATAAAATTTGGATATAGGTTTCAAATTGGTTGCAAATGTCATAATTTAACTTAGATGGCCTAGGCTAAATATGAAGTTCAATAAAAAAAATTGCCTAAATCATCTCTTTCTAAATGTAAGCATTTAAAATTTTGCATGAAAGGGAATTCTAATTTGTTCTAGGAATGCAATGTTAAATAATTTTTGATTAAAACATACCTATATACCATAAAATTCACAAAAATCAGTGTTCATGGTCTTAAAAATAAATGGTTAAATCCAAGAATCATTTTAAGTCAAAAATTCAAATTAAAACTAAAACATACTAGACTAGAAAAATAACTAAATTTATCGCAAGTTACTAAATTATGATAATTTTCAAGCTTGCTCACAATTATTCCAACCATATTAAGCTAATGAAACATATAAAACTAAAATTTTAACTAAACGTTTTCTTCCCCCAACTTAATCTAGCACATTGTCTCCAATGTGTGCAAAAATAAGACCACTTCTCCAAACTCATCATATATTATCAAAACAAGGTGCAAAAATAAAAATAGAGTTGAAAACACCTTACTACCATTGTATTGAGAGCCGAGCTAGATTCTGCAAGTGAAAGAACTTTGCAGATGGTCGAGGAGATTAGGATATTGAGTATTCGGTCGGTGATAAAGTATTTCTGAAAGTTTCACCATGGAAAAAGATCCTAAGGTTTGGACGAAAGGGTAAGCTTAGCCCTAGGCATTGGTCCATACGAGATTGTGAAACGTGTCGAACCATTAGCCTATCGCCTAGCATTACCTTCAAACCTTAGAATCGGATTCATATGTCTTTCACGTATCAATGTTAAGGAGATACAGATCAGGAACCCATCACATGTGTTATCAGCAGAAGAGATTGACATTCAGCCGATACCTCACTTATGAAGAAGAACCAGTTCAGAATCCTAGCAAGCAGAAATGGAAAGAGATTACGGAACAAGGAAAATAGCATTGGTAAAAGTTCTTGGAAATCATAAGACAGAAGAAGCAACTTGGGAATCTGAAAAACCATGCGACACAGTATCCGCCAGTTGTTCACAACAGGTAACTTCGGACGAAGTTTTATTTAGGAGGGGAGAATTG